CCTCTGGCCTCACATCCTACCTCACCTCTCACTTTTATGGTCATACCTTGCTAGTGTGTGGGGGCTACTATAACAAAATACTACAGACTAGGGGGCTTAAACAACAGAAATTTATTTTCTCAAGGTAATAGAAGCTTGAGGTCCAAGATCAAGATGTTGGCAGGTTGGGTTTCTCTCGAGACCTCTCTCTTTGGCTGACAGACGGCTACTTTCTTATGTCCCCACTCAGCCTTTTCTCTGTGCACCAGGTGCACTTGGTATCTCTTTGTGTGTTCAAATTTTTCTTCTTATAAGGACACCAGTCACATTGGATTAGGGCCCACACTACTAGCCCCATTTTAACTTAATTATGTCACATTCTGAGGTTATAAGGATTAGTGCTTTAACATAATGAATTTTGAGGGGATACAGGTCAGCCCATAATACACCTTTAGACTTTGTCTTCATCAATTTCTGAAACTTTTTTTTAAGGTTTTTATTATTTGACACAGAGACAGAGAGTACAAGTAGGCAGAGCAGCAGGCAGAGGGAGAGGAAAAAGCAGGCTCTCTTTTGAGGAGGGAGCCTGATGTGGGGCTCGATCTCAGGGATCATGACCTGAGCCACCCAGGTGCCCAATTTCTGAAACATTTTAATCTTAAATTCCAGCATCCCACTTCTCAATCACTAAAGTCTATCTTTCCAGCTCTTTGTCTTTCTGCTACCCCAAACCAGTAACTCTTCAACCACACTGGGACACACAATCTCCAAATGCAACCTCTTTTTCACTCTCCTCATATTCTCTCATGTCCTTAGTTGCCTTTCTCACGCTGCATTCCATGGTCTATTATTATAATCACTCTCTTACATATATTCTTCTTTCTTTCTTTCTTTCTTTCTTTCTTTCTTTCTTTCTTTCTTTCTTTCTTTCTTTCTTTCTTTTACAGAGATCACAAGTAGGCAGAGAGGCAGGTGGGGGGTGGTGGGGAAGCAAGCTCCCTGCTGGCCAGAGAGCCCTATATGGGGCTTGATCCCAGGACCCTAAGATCATGACCTGAGCCGAAGGCAGAGGCTTAACCCACTGAAACACCCAGGTGCCCCCTCTTACATATATTCTTGATATTCTTACATATATTCTTGATACACTCGTGCTCTCTCTTCATGGTACTTGCCTGGCAAAGTCCCAGTCCTGGTGATTGCAGCTTCCTTACGATTCCGCCCACACCTCTGCACCTGCACTTCACTAGGAAGAACACTCAGTCATCCTGCCTAAGTTCACTATTTGTTCATGACCTCAACGGGCCCTCAGTGTCTGCTAACAATCCTGCCACATTGATCCCAACCATTCACCATCCTAGGCAACTGTTTCATACCTTTCCCTCTCTCTCCAAACCTTTAACAGTCTCCCCCCATTCTCATTCTTGGCTGATCAACCTTCTCTCTGTTTCACCAAGAAAACAAATCCAATATTGTCTGTTCTGCCTTTTTTCTGTGCCAAGGACTGAGGGGCCCATGCGTACCTAAGACAAGCTCCTACTTCTGTGCACATACTCCCATCCCTTCTCATGTAAATGAGGACAGGTTCCGGTAATTCTCCCCTCTCTCTGTCTTGCATTATCAATCCCCACCTCCCCTCCCTTCTCTCAAAAAGAACAGTCCCATCATTGTACAGACATGCTACAATTTTCCCCATTAAACTTTTTCCCTTGGGGCGCCTGGGTGGCTCAGTGGGTTAAAGCCTCTACCTCGGCTCAGGTCATAATCCCGGGGTCCTGGGATGAGCTCCGAGTCGGGCTCTCTGCTCAGCGGGGAGCCTGCTTCCTCCTCTCTCTAGCTCTCTGCCTGCTTCTCTGCCTACTTGTGATCTCTGTCTGTCAAATAAATAAATAAAATCTTTAAAAAAATTTTTTTTTCCCTTGACTTCCACTTTGCTACAGCTTCATTTTTCTGCTCTTTTTTACAGTAAAACTCTCCAAAAGAGCTCCTCTCCTCTCTTTCCATTCTCTCATGAACCCACTAAAGTGAGCCTTCCATGTCTAGCCTTCCAACCAGTTTCTCTATCAAGGTCATTGGTGACGTCCATGTTGCTAAACCCAATAGCCAACTCTCAGTCCTCCCATATTACTTGCTCTATAGGCAGCATTTGACTCAGTTGGTTACTTCCTCCTCAGCTAGAAATTCAACTTCTAGGATAAGCTTCTGGTTTTTCTTCTAACTCACTGGCCACTTCTCAGGCTCCTTTCCTGGCTTCCCATCAAGTTTGCAAACGCAATTCATTGGACTTCCCGGGATTTAGTACTTGGCCTCTTTTCTGTCTACACTCTCATTCTCATAGTGTTTCATGGCTTTAAATACTATTCAAATGCTGACAACTCTTATATACTCTACCCAAGACTTCTCCCCTGAACTTCATATTTGTATATCCAACTACCTAATTGACATCACTTGGATTTTAATAGGTGTCTCAAAACTTAGAATGTCTGAAACTTACCACTTCATCTTTCCCCTCCCAAACCTGTTCAACCTGCTGTTTTGTTCATTTTAGTTAATGACAACTTCTTTCTTCCAGTTGCTTGGGCTCTGAACCATATAGTCATCTTTGCCTCTCTTTCTCTTATATTCAATCCAATCTGTCACCAAATACTCTTGATTCTGTCTTAAAGAGCCTGGCCAGCTCAGTCAGTAGAGCATGTGACCCTTGATCTCCAGGTTGTGAGTTCAAGCCCCACACTGGTTGTAGAGATTATGTAAAATAAAATAAAATCTTAAACACACACATACACACACAGAAGCCAGCCTTTTCTTACCATCCATGGTCTGAGCCATGGATTGTTGAAATGACTTTAGAACTCATCTCCTTTCTTTCAACCAGATCCTTTACAACCAATTCACAACAAGAAGTCACTTTCCTACTCAAAACTAATCTCAGGTGTTACTACTTTTCCCTTACTTTGCTTGGCTCTAACCACAGTGGTCCTCGCCAGGATTCACTTCGACCCAAGGCTTTTGTACACTTGCCATTCTCTCTGCCTGGAACGTTTCTCCCCTGAGTTGCCTACATGGCTTGCACTCTCCACTTTCTTCAGATCTTTACTCAGATGTCATCTTCTCTTTAAGGTCTTTCCTGACCACGCTCTTTGAAATGATGTCTCCATCACCATTCTCTAAGCACTTCTAGTTGCCCTTTTCTTGATTTATTTTAGCCATACTTATCGCTACCTGACAAGCCATATATATATATATTTAATTATTAGTCTCCCCACAATAGAATATAAGCTTTATAAGGACAAGAATTTTGGACTGTCTCCTTCATGGATCTGTCTCTCCCCAGCACTTAGAATAAAGTGCCTGGCACATAGGAGGTGCTTAATAAATATTCAGTCAAAACTGTTGCTCTTCCTATCATCCCAAGGGTTCTGGTAAATATGATTTTAGTTTGCTTCTATGTCCCTCAAGAAAAAAAATCTAATGACCAAACTTTGTGATGCTCTTTGCTCAAAAACATTAGGGAAAAAAAAAAAATCACAGTCACCAGGGGTGCCAAGAAATCTCTTTGGAACCCATCATAGAATAAGACTGTTAGTTTCTAGATTTGATTGTTTGAATCCGAAAGCAGATCCAAGGACCTCAATTTTTTGGAAAAAAAAAAAGAATATAATATAATTTAACATTATTCACATAAAATAAGTTTTTATTCCCTTGAATGAAAAGTATATATATTATAGAATATTAATACTTTCTGGAGGACACTAACAAATTAATGTAAATACTTCTGGGATCAAGATTTTAAGAGCTCATGCCACAGAACTCTTCGAGTATCAAGAGAAGTAAATAAACAGACATTACTTCTGCTCTCTGTACTATTTTGACAATTATGTCCCTATAACTGCTCTTTTTATTGTTAACAATGGTTCCGACTTATTGCCTACTCCTTCTATATCCCCTGACATTGTGGTTTGCACACATAATCTTGGTTAACCCTCACATTATTCTTCTAGGAAAAGTATCATTTTTTTAAAATTTCCATTTCACAGATGAGAAAGTTGAGACTTAAGAAAATTAAATTGAGTTGGGTTCTGATCTTCCCAACAGAGAGGGATGGCAACAAAGTCAGGCAACCCTTGCATTCCTTATCACTGTTGTCCACATCATCTTTAACATAATAGTGTCATCTTACTCTCTCTTTCTCTCAATCTCTCTCAAATAAATAAATAAAATCTTTCAAGAGCGGGGGGGGGGGGCAGCACCTGGGTGGTTCAGTTAAGTGGCTGCCTTCAGCTCAGGTCATGATCTCTGTGTCCTGGGATCAAGCCCTGGGTTCAGCAGGGAGTCTGCTTTTCCCTCTCCCTCTGCCCTCCACCCCCGCTCCGCCTATGCACACTGTCTCTCAAATAACTTAATTAATTAAAGCTTAAAAAAAAACCAAGCAGGGTAAGGATGCCTTGCCTTAATCCTTTCCTCATATCATCCTAATTGGAGAGGCTCTGTGGCTCTTTCGATTCAGGGCAATCATTTGGAAGCAATAATTCTTAAATCCTTGTTTCAAACTTCTTACTCATAAAGTCTTAACCAAATTACCCAAATTCTTTTCCCCATTTTCCTAAGCAGCAAGAGAGATGCGAATTTCTTCCTGTTACTATTTTTCAGAGAGGTGGAAATCGCAGAGATGAACTCTGGGAAGGAAAGTTGTCCCTAGACAGTAACCTCACCCACAGGGAAGTCTTGTTTTTCTCCCCCACCAGCCTGTCCCTGTCTTTGTCCTTTTTGTGCCCCCCCACCCCGCAAATTTGGAACAAAGCTTGGTGAATAGTGAGCACAAAATAAAGAACCCTGAAGGAAGGGCAGAAGCCTAAAGTCAACACACCACACAGTCTGTTCTAGCGTAAATTCCCTTGGTAGTTTCCTCTTTCGCCCCCCTGTTCACCGTTGGATTAAATTTGCCAGATTCGATTCCAACCCCACCCCTGCCCCAACTTCCTTCTTTAAAATATGCTCAGGGTTAAGGCTTTCGTGCTGTAATCCAGAGGAAAATGACTTATTTTCAAATGCAGTAAAAACACCGCATTCCTTTGGCACAGGATGAAGACCAGCTCAGCTCTTCAGCCCTAGATCATTGTCTATTGTTCTCCAAACAGTAAACCACTATTTCTCACCAGAGATTGTGGGCTGCAGTTCTGTCCGAGCCCTGGGCTTCTCATGAATATGAAGTGAAGGGCTCTGACCCAGAACGTGGTAGGTAATCTCAAAAAAAAAAAAAAAAAAAAAGGGGGGGGACAGGTAGGAAACAAATTAGGCTTTATGTAATTCTACACTCTTGAAATCTCCTGCAGGTTCTGAGCAGGGAAATGGGGTCTCGGAAATGTGGAGGCTGCCTAAGTGGTCTGCTGATTCCGCTTGCACTTTGGAGCATAATTGTGAACATATTATTGTATTTCCCAAATGGGCAAACTTCCTATGCATCCAGCAATAAACTCACCAACTACGTGTGGTATTTTGAAGGAATCTGTTTCTCAGGTATCATGGTAAGTGTGACTTTGGAGACTTGGGTTGCAGAAGGGAGTGTTTTTACTAAGCTTTGTCTTGTTCCTAGCAGAAATAATGAATAATGGAAAAATCACTGGACTAATCCCGGGTTTGGGATTTGGAAGATGGGTGGGGGTAGAGGGGCAGGTCGTCCATGAGGGCTTGGGAGGGTAGCTTTGTCTTCGATGAGCTGTTGATTTATGTGACTTCAGCAGTGCAGGAAATTAGACCTAATGAAAGTCTGTGGGATGCCAGCCGGTGGAAATATGTCCTCACGAACGCTGTGTGTTGGTTTAAGCTGTCTGATGTCCAGTGGCAGAGCTATTTTCCAGAATAGTTTCTATCTGCCCTCATGATTTCTCTAGACTGGAGAGATATTGAGACCACATGGGAAAAGCAGAGATTGGGAGATTCAGACAAATTTGTGTTCAAATACAAGCTCTGCCATTTGTACCCTGAGACCTTGATCAGATGACTCAATGTCTTTGAGCCACAGGGTTCTCATCTGAAAAATGGGAGTGATGGCATTTACTTTTTAGGGTGATTGTGGGGATTCAACAAAATCTCATGAAAGAAGTGCCCAGGATGGAGGCTGATATGTATTAGATAGCCAACGAATATTGTGATTATAAATACTTGTTGAAGAATGGGCCAGATCATAATTAAATAGTCTGATATTATACCCCTCATAATGGGGGTGTTTTTGAAATGAGATCTAATTACTTACAGTAAGAATCCAAGAATGTTTTTGCTGATGAATTTGTGCTCTTTAAAAACAAGCTGATAGTAAATCATGTTGGCAAGTCAGAGGAAAAAACACTTTTCCTGATCATATCATTTCTAAAAACAGCACATTGTGCGCTATAAGCTTACTATATCACCAAAGACATAAAAGACAATGGATTACAATTTATCTTTACATCTTCATGGGTGCTTAATTAATATAATATTTGAATAGCTATGATGAAAAGCAGTTTTCATTTGGTTACTATTTTGCACACGAAGTTAGTTAACTTTAAAGTACTGATAATCAACGCTATTGAAGTTGCTGTGTGATAGATAGGTACGTAATGAATGTTTGGTGATTGTACTATAAGTGAATGCAAACCTTTTGGAGAAGATTTCGATATGCTGTATTAATATCCATGAAAATGCTTATATCTTTCGACTCAGTAATCCTAAACCTGAGAATTCATTCTGAGGAAATAATCCATAATAAGGAAAGATACACATACACAGATATTTATGGCAGCAGTATTTATAATAGTAAGTAATTTGTAGAGCTCCCTAGCACAGAATTGGTCAAAAAAATTGTGGAACATTCACTTCTTATGGCATTGAAAATGATAATTATGAAGATGCAATAATATGGAAAATGCATATTATTTTGTGTTAAGCAAAAAAGAAATGATACAAAAAATTGTGAATAAGTTATAACTATGCAAAATATACACATGTGGTAATATCCTGGGAGTATATACATAAAAACATGTGAGGGTGGTGGGATTTGGGGTAATGTTCCTCCATTATGCTTGAGCCCTATATTCCAGTTAGAATTTCACAATGAAAAAAAGAAAGCAGTTTCTTTTTCAACACGAGTGATGCCTGTATTTCTCTTTTGACACAGGACTCCAGGGTCTAGGTCTAATTATTTCCCACTAGTACTGTAATGAAGCTAGTTACTGTACCTGTTGTACTATGCCTTCTCTCATCATTGTTTCCCTCAATATGTCACTGGAATCGATAGAAGGGTTGCAAGGCATTAATAAGATTAAATTAGAATCTACTAAAATCTATGATAATTAGTGGTGTTGTAAGGAGGAGAATGTAAGACTCTGGTTTATATTCTGTGTAAAATATAAAACTTAGAAAAGAATCAGTTCTCTATTTTCCATTGTCAGGGAATCCCTGCAAAACATGATTGTTACTACATCAAATATTTTTAAGAGAAAGAAGAGGGATGTAGATAAATAAATAAGTAGACAAGCGAAAGCTGATGAATTTGGAAACTGGAAATGCTGACTATACATAGTAAAATAACAACGAAATCTGCTTCAGGATTCAGTCCAGAACACTGGGAGTAAATGATAGGTGGAGAATTTGTCAGAAGCAACTCATGGTCCATACCTGCCCAAACAAGGAACTATAACAGAAAAGAAACCCATGTTCTTTACAGAACTTGAGCCCTTTCCTTAGGCTACCAAGAAAAGGAAGTAGAATACATTGAATTCTCCCAGTCTGTTGGCTGGATAGAGACAAAACACACTTGAAGATTTGAACCTGAGATGATTTGAATGCTTGGGCAAAACAAACTGACTTTACTTTGAATTAAGACATGTAATTCCGATTAACTGTACCTCTCACTTGCATTCCCAGAGAGCAGTAAATGGAGAAAGGCTGGCAAACATCAAAGTCTGGTGAATGATTTTCCTTTGACCTCTGCAACTGAGTCAGTGAGAAATGCAGGTTTGCTGCGGGGTGGTATTCCCATGTCTACACCATTTACTGCTTAATCATTAGTTTTTGATGACTGATAACCATGCCAATAATAGCTAACATTTATCAACCACTTACTCTAAATCAAGCACTATGTTCAAAATTCTACACACATGACTTCCTGACCACCCAACGAGGTGAGTTCCCAACACCACTTTATAGGGAAAGACTCTCAAGCTGACACAGCTAGAAAATGGCAGCTTTGGGTTTTGAACCCGGGTCCACTTGCCCCCACAGTTCCTGCTCAGAATCACTGTGCTCTGATTATGACTAGTATTCCGTTTCTGATATTTCCTCTCTTCCCTACTACAGATGCTTATAGTAGCAACAGTTCTTCTTGCATTGGAGAATGATAACAACTATAAATGTTGCCAGAGTGAAAACTGCAGCAAAAAATACATGGTAAGAGCAATAGTACCTTGAGGATGGCTGAGTGGGCTCTGCTTGCTTTCTTCTCACTCAGAAATGAGAAAATATTCACACTGTTGTCCCCTCTCCGTAACCCTTTCAACTCAGAGCCCAAGAATTTACTAAAAAAAAAAAAAAAAAAAAAAAAAATCCAACTTCCATTTTGTTTACTGTCTTTGTTTACTGTTGATGTTCTTCCAGAAGTTCAGGATTTAAAGATACATAGAGTTAGAAAATAATATGAGTTTACTTTTTTCCCTTTTCAACTTTATTGAGGTCTGATTTACATTCAGTAAATGGCATCCATTAAAATTGTACAATTTCATGAGTTTTGACAGCCAAATACACCCAGGCAACCACCATCACGATCAAGACACAGAACATTCCTATCACCCCCAAAACATTGATCTTTGATCTGCTTTATGTCATTATAGATTAGCTTGTATTCTATGTAAATAGAATTATGCAAAATTTGTCTTTTGTATCTGGCTTCTGTCAGTCAGCATGATTAGATTTATCCATGTGTTGGATATACACAATGTACATTTTTTTTAAATGGGGCTTCAAAAATAATTTAAATAGAATCAAGAGAGAATAATACAACCAATTTTCTAAGCCTGTGCTCAGCAGGCAGGTGCTGGGCTCCTACATTTTCATCACTGTCCTTCTCCTCCTCAGGGTTATCATCTTTTAATCATATTTGCATAGCACATTTTTTTCACTCTTACCCAGGGAATTAGATCATTGTTACTCATATGAATTACCTGTGGCTCAGAGAGATTGTGTGATGTATTAACTAAAAGGAATTTTCCAGAGGCCTGGTAGGCATATCTTGCAGTTGTGGCTGCCGGCCGCCGTGGCTGCCGGCCGCCGTGGCTGCCGGCCGCCGTGGCTGCCGGCCGCCGTGGCTGCCGGCCGCCGTGGCTTCACATTGGAATCATCTGAGAGTTTGGAGCTGGAATTCCACCCCCAGACACCCTGAGCTAGTTGGTCCAAGGGGCAAACAGATTTTAATGGGCAGTTGAGATGACATGTCTAGCTTTATGACAGATGGCGTTGGAAGACTTAATTAGCTGCTAAATTTAGAACTATGCTCTTGGTGAGGATTTGAAGAATGAAAAGACGCTCTGTGCACCTGCGTGTGCATGTGCATTGCGGGTGTATGTATTTTCCTCCAGTAACTGCCGGTATTATACTTATGGAAAGCTTTCAAAACTGCCTAGGTGAAACAATAGATTCAGGTAAACATTAACTTCTGATACTCAGGGAATCTCTAGAAAACAACCGTATGTGCCGCTAGGTTCATAATAAAAATAAATGTGTCCAATTTGCCTTGAATCACTATTAGCATCTCCAGCATAAACGGACGCTGCAGACGAGTGGAGTCTGGATGGCGTCTCATAATCAAATCAAAGGAGATGGCTGGCATCTCAATGGGAAAAGCAGGAGGACGGGAGAGGGGATTATCCGGATTCCCTGGTTGGTTCTTTCAAGGTAGGGCTTTAGAATAGGGGTCCCAGTTTATTTGCCCCAGGAGCCAACCTCCTGATGGAAATGAGAGATCTGAGCCTGGTAAGCATTAGATTTCAATTTCTTTTTAAGGAAGAGAGGGATCTGCTCAAGTCCAGCCCCACATCAGGCTCCCTGCTCAGTGGGGATCCTGCTTCTCCCTCTTCCACTCCCCCTGCTCATGTTCCTTCTCTTGTTCTCTCTCTCCCTCTGAATCAAATAATAAATAAAATCTTAAAAAAAAAAAAAGAAACTTTAATTTCTGGTGAAAACCAGGAAGTAAGCTGTTGTGGAATGTTATAGATACCAACATCTCATTGATTGGCAAATTTTTGAGTATGCTATTTCATAATTTCTAAAGCATACATTTCTTCATTGTACAATTTTTCAGTATAGCACAAAACATATCTACTAATAGACCTGAATATCTTTACTTCCTCTTTAAAAGAGAGACAAATATAGGGTTATGTTCACTAATCAATGTTTCAGTCATTTATTTTATTTGGAAATGACTTATGTATTCAATGAATTACCATTATTTAACTTCGCTTAGTACAACTTGTATTACTTTAAGGTTTCAAGTTAACAAAAAGATTTTGGAAGGTATTTTAAAATAAATGGATTTTATAAAACTTAATCATTGTTGAAAAATTCACTTATAAACTTTTATCACCCATATACTTAACAACTATGTGTAGATAACTCATGCAAATTTCATGACACAAGAGACAAAGTTAGCCATTATTTTAAGTTATTTTTCTTGTTGACAAATTTTGTGACATATATATTAGTCAAGCATCAAATGTCATAGAAACAAAGCACCCAAAAAGTTAAACATACATACTTTTTCTCTCTCTCTCTCAGTTGCCATGCTTGACATACATTCAGCAATTTGTTTTTTAGTGTATGCTTCGTTTATAGGTTGAATTGATAGTTTTATATTGTTAAAGATCTAGCAGAGATACTACGTTTGTTTGACTTGTAATTCTAGGTAGAAATAAAATTGTATGACTATGATACGTTTAATGCTGACAACTCTGAAGATATGCTTGTTTTTTATTTTTCCCAACAATTTTTAAAATAGCTTTATTTAACCAAAGATTATCCCAGATTGTGCGAACTTAAAAAATTTGTTTTGGGTTAGTCTCTGTGTTTAAGAATACTTAATTTACATGAGCACTCATTTACTTCTACGCCAGTTAGAATAGAACTCTTTTGACAGATTTTATAAATTATTTTGGTAATACCATCTGGAGGTAGAAAAATATCACACATCTGTAACACACATATGAAGGTATAAGTAAACATATAGACAGACATAGAGATCTTATGGCCTTTGTTTTTAAATTTTAGCCATGTATTAGGTACATTGATAAGAAATTTACCAGTTTATAGAAGAGTCCAAATTGTGTTTCTGGCCTGTGGAGCAAGTTATGGCTACCCACTCGGATGGCTAAAGCTTTTTACTGAGTTGTGGAGAAGGCTTTTAAGATTTGTATCTGCCCTTGACAAGTAATTTTATGAAGGCTGTGGACTAGATTTTGGCGAGGGAATTTTTATAGCAGTTGGGTTTTTTTTTAACCACCCCCCTACTCCCCCAGCACCCTGTTCTCCCCCACCTCCCCACCCCTCCCACTCCCCCAGCCCTGCTTTTTTTGTCCTTCAGTTTCAAGCAGTTGTGTGTTGTGTTTTAATTATCTCCCAGAATGTTTACATTCCAAAGAGCGGGAGCCCCATAAGAATTGCATCTCAGAGGGTGTAGAGAATGTAGGTTTCCTTTTAGAAGGAATTTGGTGGCATATTTATCTATTATCAGGAGGCATAGAATAATTACTATTTAATGTTTTCCTTCTTTTTCTGAAGCACAGGGTAGTTCTCTTCACAATGTCCTGATTTTTTATAACAACTACAGATATTTTGAGATGAATAGGGGAGGCTTGGGGAGTGGTAAGAATAGGTAGGTGAACTTTGAATTGCTTTAAGGGACACATTTCTAGTTCGATAAAGACTAGATTTGTAAAACAAAGGCAATTGTTTTTTAATTCCTCAAAGAGGGGGATCACAGCCCGAATGATCCTGACCTACCCATCTAATTACACTATTTTCAATCTGCTTCTTTATATTAGGGAGAAGATTTCCAACTAAGATGGAAGTCCGAATATTTCTTGGTTCTAGATTAACAGTAGTGTGTCTTTGTAATGTTCTTGTAATTATTTCACAAAACCTTCCACATTTTTTCTTTCCCTCTGAGTACAGAGCTCCATTTTACTCAGGAGAGAAAAACTTAATTTTAGAAGTTTCTATCAGGATGTGAATATCAACCTTTAATTTGGCCAACTTCAGACCATACAGCCCCCTAAAAAATTATTTCAAATATTTAAACCAAATGACTCGAAACCAAAACCAAAACTTAATCAGGGATGCAAGAGATGTCCCCAAAGTGAGTGCAAAAGATGCAGCCCTCCCAAGATCCAGAATCACTCTCCAAGGTAGCAAAAGAAACTTAGACAACTCCTCCTGAAAGCTGGTGACAATTGGTGGGATCCTAGCTGCAGTGGGGTGCAGCCCAAATTTCTGTATGGCAGATTTTGGGGGGACCACAACCTGACAGTTGGCTGCTTTCAAGAACTGGCATTTGCATGCCTGACAGGCAGAAAGTCAAATTCTCAGAACATAAATAAAAGACAAACAGGAAATTGACAGCTGTTCCTGGCAGGGAAAGGATCAATAACCAAGGGATAACTCAAAACCAAATTTTAACCAGAGTCACAATCCAAAGAACTCATCTTTACAAGTGTTTTTTCCCCGCCAATCTGAATCTGAAAAGGAAAAGACTCTTACCACCTAACCTAGACCAGTCCCCCACAAGCAGAGATCCAAGAAACTGACATGGCAAGAATTCTTCTGTGGCTTTTCTCCCAGATCCAGGATCTTTAACCGTAGCTCCTGTACCAAGGAAGGTGTCCTGAGCTATGGTGCCCCGTGTTGGGTGCCAGATATTGTAACAGAAAAAAGTTTTACTCCACCCTCTTAGGGTCCCTGGCTCAGTCTGAAAATTAAACTGACAAAGACAGGTGAGCAAGAAAAAGGGATATACATTTTATTGAATTTTATGCATACATGGGGGCCTTAATGAGAGAATGAAGACCTGAAGAAGTGACCAGAGTAGCAAGAAACAACAACAGATTTGTAAAGAATTGGCAAGAGTGAGGTGTTTGGGCTAGGGGTAGTAAATGTTGGAGAAGTAACAAGGAAGATAAGGTTTAGTTTAACGAGGTTTTTTTTTCACAGGTTTCTTGGCCCCCATCTCTTCCTTTTTCTCCTTGTACAGAGAGGGTAACTTGCATACCAGAGTTTTATAAGCTCTTTAAGAGAAAAAGGGTGAAGGGGCTGGGAGGGGTCAGAGTGACCATCCTGCTTCTGCCATTTTCTAAAGCTCCTTCAGTTTAAGATATTCAGTATGCTAAAATGCCATGTTTTGGGGGTGACCTGAACCTCACTAACTTCTTGTTTGCTATTCATTCTTCTGTGTTGTCTCATTTTCTGCCAAAATCCTGTGGGTGGTTTTCTCTGGAAAACAGCTACCAGCCAAATAGAGGTACTTGGAATAAGAGATGATATTGTGATTATATTTATAATTTGAAATAATTTTTATATCCATTGTGCCCTTTAATCTTTGAAATATCCCTATTATGGAGGTAGTATAATCATCTACCTCTTTTACATTTAATAGAACATGGAGCTGTAACTCAGAGAGATTCTTATTCCTGATTTATTTCAAGCTTCAACTGTATCCACTCATTACACTGTAATTTGTATACGTATACAAATATATATTTGTCAGCCCTCCTTGAGCCAGCATTCAAAGCCACCTTCTACCTGCAGGTACGAGTTGCACTAACTTTGTAAGCAACTCGAGGGCTGGGTGGCGTCCAACAACTCCATTTCCCCAGCATTAGCAAACATGTCTATCTGGTCTTCATAAACTTCTCTCTAATGCTCCGTGGGAACCCTCTCTTAGATCACACTAATCTACTTACCTTATAATTCTGCTTGTACCCATCTACCTGGGAACACTGCTTGTTCTCTCTCCTCCAAGGCAAACACCTTCCTCCCCATCAATCCCTTCCTCACATGAACATAAATATGGCCATATAGGCTAACACCTGATGCTTCCCCTCAGATTCCTGTAAGTGAAGGTATCCACATATCATCTTCACATGAGAAAAGTCAAGGTCCTAGCTTCTGATTCTTAGAGAACCCACCTGACCTAGAAAATAACGTCTTTGGTAAATACAGATTGATCAGTCACACCCCTTCCCTGCATTAATGTTTGATCATTATTTTGATACCGAAATTCCAGAAGAAAGGAAGAAATGTAGTCAATTAACTAGTATTCTCTGTGGAATTCCACACAAAAAGGCATTTTAAAACTTATTTTAAAGATCAGATGGGTTTGGATTAAATGTTTGTTTTTCTGTGGACATTCACACAGACTGCATGCAGTAGGTTTGGACGAGTAGGGGAAAGTACCTATCTGATCATTTATCCACAATATCCCCTTGTCTCATTCTGTGGCACCAACCTCCACCTCCTCCTCCTCCTCCTTTTTTTTTCTGACTTCCTTCTTCTATGTTTAATTTAGACACTGCTGTCGATGATCTTTTCTGCCCTTGGAATTGCTTTCTCTGGATACTGCCTGGTCATATCTGCTCTAGGCCTTGTTCAGGGTCCATACTGCCGCACTCCTGATGGCTGGGAGTACGTCTTTGAAGGCACTGCAGGACGGTAAGAAATAATTCTCCAAATCAAGGGGCTCAGAAAGCCAGAAACACCTGGCTTCATGCTTATGATCATTTTCCATGATAACTTTGGGGTTCTATGTGGGAATACTCAGACCAACTTCTGCCTCCATAGATCTCTGTTTAGATGCTTTTCCTTCTCTCTTTCTTTTTTTTTGGGGGGGGGCAGTCTTTTTTTTTTTTTTTCAAGATTTTATTTATTTATTTGAGATAGAGCAAGAGAAGGAGAGGACAAGCAGGGGGAGCAGCAGGCAGAGGGAGAGACAGGCTCTCCACTGAACAGAGAGCCTAACACAGGGCTGGATCCCAGGACTCTGAGAACATGACCTGGGCAGAAGGCAGACACTCGACCGGCTGAGCCACCTAGGCACCGCTGCCAGTCTTCTAATGTCATATGCATTCACTATTTTGAGGTTGATGTGGAGATATCTAAATGAAAGTTGTGTTTCTCCTGAATTTCAGAGCGAAGCTTTGTAGTTATTGTGGTCTGGCAGCTACTGGAGCCTGGGAATTGAATGGTTCTAATACCCCAGTCTTGCTGTGTGGCCAGTTTGGAAGTGTGGTCTGTTACAGATGGGAAGGGGCTTGGCTGGAAGAAAATTTCAGTGACCTTGGATGGTGTTACCCATGCTATGCCATCAGGGACAACACAGATAGAACCAGGCAGCATGAGCAGCCAAGTACAGGGTGAGATCAGGGGGCATGACCAGGAGCAGGCATTTGTGGGGGAGCCAGGAGAAGATCTAGTGTGCACTGAAGAAGAGTCTAGGAAGGCAGCCTTAACTTAGAGGGCTGGTGATGCAGTTAGCTGTTGAGGAACCCAGTACCGGATCGCAGAACACCTCACACTGGCATTTTATCTGCCAGCACCTGTAGAGACAGCTCTAGAAGCAGCAGGGCCCAGAAAGAGATTTAGGAGAGGTCCATCAGATCCTTCCCAGTCCTGTCCTATGCCCAGAATTCTAATGGTATAAATGGAGGGAGTGTCTGGACCAATCCCTAGGGAAGTTGCAGTCTCTTCTCAGCTCCCTGCGACTGGCTCTGTTGTTCAAAGCCCACATCAACTTGAAGTCTTACATGCTCAGCTAGGCCTGGGTTGCAAATCTACTTCTGTGCCCAGAGCTGCCTTGTCCTGAAAGTTCCACCAGGTGCCACATTCTGTGAGCAGAGCTCTCTCTTAGGTCAGGAGACTCAGGAAAGGAGACGCTAATAAAGAAAGTCCCACTGGGTGCAAAAAATCATTTTTTGTGCCGTCATCCCCTGAACATCGCTGACCCCCAAATCAAAGAAGATTTCCCTTTCAGAGCAAGATCTCAGACTGCCCACATGCCCCTCCATTACTCTCCATTACTCTTCATTACTCTTGAAAGTTTCTCTTAATATCTATATTCACCTGACTCCAGCTACAGACAAATGGAGATAAAACATTGGAAGCCATAAAGGGAAGTGAAGTCTCTGGTATCCTAGAGAAATTTCCAAGCCTTGGCCAATTCTGGGTGGAACAAGTGTTAATGTTAAAGTCCCACAAGTTAGATCTTTGTTTGTACATTTATTCAACAAATATTTCTTGAACATTAACTCTGTCCAGGCCTTGAATTAGGTGTTAGAGAACCAAAGATAAATTACTCAGTTTTCCTTCCCTCTAGGAGCTCACACGGACCTGACAGAATGTTCTGCTAAGATGGCTGCTTTAGAGTGAACACTGCCCTCAGAGCACAGGCCTTTGATGCTTATACACATCTGGGTTCACGTCGTCCATCTGCTACTTCCAAACTGTATGACCTGAAACAGATATCCCCGAGCCTCTGTAAATCATTTCTACCTCACAGAACTGACAATTAACTGGAAGCAAAGCACAGATTAGATTTACTAAGTTCTTAAAATTAGCTGGATTTTATGATTAACATCGTTAACAGGCATAATCTCTTATGTCCCCATCTGCTGGGTAGTCCATAGGCTCGGTCACAGGCATGGCTACTGCTGGGGATCCTGAATCTGGTCCATTCAACAAGCATTTGTTGGTCTTTGCCATGTGCCAAGCACAGCCTTAGGTGTCAGGCCTAGCTATTCTGGGCTGTATAAATCACAGTAGGGCTCTCAGAGTACACAACATAGTGAGCAAATATATACAGATACCAATAAGACGGCCTTACAATTTAAGGAAGTAAATGCTGTGATGGAGCTCTATAAAGAGGTTGTGGAGGGAGGGAGTATCAGAAATAGCATCTCCATTCCTTCCAGACCCTGCTAGTACATTTACTACTTTGTGGTTTACATGAAGAATAAATAAGTGCCACAGCCCAGGAGAAAAATCAACACCATGGAGGTCATCTCACTTCCAAGTGTTGGCTCATCCGTGCAGAGCGTGTACTTGGAAATCTAGAGTAAGGATCTCGAAGGGATTGCTTCCTTGGTGGCTTAGATGGAGTTCAGAGTATGAGGATATATGGAGTGGGTCTAGGGAAATGGTAACAGGAAATTGTATCTGTATCAGGCTTTACAGGTTCCAAAGCATTCTCACACACCTTTCACTGAATATTCATATTAACCCCTAAATAAATAAATAAAATCTTCAAAAAATAAAATAAAATAAAATAAGCATAGGGGCGCCTGGGTGGCTCAGTGGGTTAAAGCCTCTACCTTAGGTTCAGGTCATGATCCCAGGGTCCTGGGATCAAGCCCCAAATAGAGCTCTCTGCTCAGCAGGGAGCCTGCTTCCTCCTCTCTCTCGCCTGCCTCTCTGCCTACTTGTGATCTCTGTCTGTCAAATAAATAAATAAAATAAAATAAGCATAGCCCAATGCTTTGTGCATGCTATATACTCCATATATGTATCTGAATTTTTAAAAATGTTTTAATTCACATTGAATAATATTATGTATTTCAATCATATATATTAATTTCCCAAACATATAAACATCTGTAGCCCTCTTACTTGGACCAAGTATTTAGGCTTGGCCATGGGTCTTGTTGACTATATCCCTTCTCTCTCTCAGTTTCCTTACAGATTCCAGCATGTGGACTGAGTGCCTGGAACCCGCACATGTAGTGGAGTGGAACATCATTTTATTTTCCATTCTCATAGCTCTCAGTGGACTTCAGGTGCTTGTTTGCCTCATCAGAGTAGTCACTCAGTTATCCAAGATACTGTGTGGAACCTATTCGGTCATCATCCAGGTAACAGACCACTGGTGGCACCTGTACCTCCTCCATTTTACCCCCACTACCCAAGATCCAATGACTCTGGTTGAAAGCCTCCCATCTTTTTCATTCCATCCCTACTGCCCTCATCTTTACTCAAGCTCTAATAGCTCAATATATATATTTTTTATATCCCATGTGTCTGTTGGTTTGCCTATGTAGATTGAATCAATGGAGTAATTGTAAAATCTGTACTTAGTCCTGAATGGTGAAAACAGCACAAGTGTTTTGAATGAGCCACAGTGCAGTGTTCTGTGTGGAAATAACCCAAAGCACAAAGAAGCCTTACTATTTATTGAGAATTTCACTGTTCATAAGATAATTGAAGGCTCACAAAGTTATCCCATTGAAATAATTTCTCTTTTGAATGCTGTTTCCATTAACCTAATGATCATGCTTTATATCGAATCATTAGTAGTTCATTTTAAAGTGGAGAAATATGTTTTTAATCCCTTCAAAACTACTTGTTTCATCTGCTAAAATACTGATGTTAATTTAGTTATGACTGAAATTGCTAAAACTACCCAGCAAGTCCAGAGTGAAGAGAAATCACGAATGAGTTAGCTTGTGTTTTATTTAACAACAAATAATGTATACCCTTCCTATAAATTTCAAGTAGATATGTTCCTAATTCATCATATTTTGAGTATGCACTATAAATTTAAGTTGATACTTGGGTCATGGATCATTAATCAAGCCAAATTTACTACTTCATTCACTTTTTTTTCTTTTTTTATAGCCTGGAATCATTTGAATGACAACAAGAATATTTTCCACTATCAAGATATGCCATCTATCTGCCTCATATCTACTATATAGACCTTAAGGCAATATTCAAATGATGGTGATTTCTCCGTTTGATGTTTTTTGAGCCTCTTATAAAATTTATAGTCCTCACTGGAAGTGCCAGCTATGTCACCCTTCTATCTGGAATTTTTTCTAAGCAATATGTGCTAGGATCTTCAGAAATATCCATATTCTTTGGTCAAACAAATCCATTCCCAATAATCTATACTATGGAAATAAATAAGAATAAAAGATAAAACTTCATGCAAATACAAATAATACAATATTATTTAATATTCTAGAAAATTAGAAATACCTGAAAGTCTAACTTTCAGGGAAAGATTAAGTCAAGAGTAATACATTAGTTGTAATATTATATAGTCACTACAAATTATGTTACACAGTCATTACAAATTATATTTTAAAAATTATAAATACTGTTAATTAAAAAAGCAGATTACAAACTTATGTTCACATTATAAACAAACCATCTAAGACAAACACCAAATAATCAAAATTTAGGAAGAAAACTCAATCTGGAAGGATTTACAGAAAAATGTCAACTGTCATTTGTCTGGATGATAGGCGACCCTTCTTACTTTTCTCTATTTCCCAAGTTTTCATTATCATTTTTATAATTAAAACATATTTTAAAACTCGTCATTTTTACTATTAAAAATGCTTGCTTTTATCCAATCTTTAAATATATGCTTTTCCACCTTGAGTATCTATAAACATCATAAAATAATGCTTCAATCAGTGTTCAATAATGAAAGTACTGAGACAGAAAGACAAAATAAATTGTATAAATTTATATAATCTAACTGAGCCTTTAGCCTTATTTTCTCACTCCTGATGATGAGTGTGGTGGGCTACAAGAGGTAGCCTTGAAATAAATGAGCAGTCGAGGGCATGCTCAATGGGTTAAAGAAAGTGGTCATTGACCAGTCAATACATATGTCATAGGGAGTTACCAATACCTACACTAATAGAAAAAAATTTTTTAGTGAAACATTTAGAAACTTTCTGTCTGTACCCTATAGTTACCATGACCTCCTTGAGAACAGCAGCAATGTTATATATTTTTCCATCCTCCTTAGGACGTAGGACGTGGGTATGGTAGACACTCAACATTAGATATCCATGCCAGGCCTGTCTGCCCTTCATGGTTACTATGCTGAACACCTGTCTCCACCATAGGCGCACTGGACCATAACACTTCTGCCACTTCCCTATTGCTCTCCTCCATGAACACTGTCAACAATGCTCTGTCAATACCTGCTCTGTGCCAAAGCTGGGCAGCAGCCTGGGGGGAAGAAGGAAACATGCTTCTATCCTTGGTGCCTGCTCTGTCCACATCCTCCTTTAAAGGAAGCTGCCCTGACTGCAGCGTTTGCTGATATATAAGTGTCTTGAAAGCAAATCATGTTATATATCAGATGACCTCAATGCCTGGACCCAGCTAGAAGAACTGGGATGGGCACCCAAGCCATGGGCAACCTATCATCATGCAACTAGCTCTGATTTAGCCAAGAGTGAAACACCATCCAAATGAGATTAGTGGTCCTTCTTGCTTGAGAATTTGATCTCAAGGAAGCTAGGAATGAATCAACCCAATCATTGCTGTCAGGAAAGTAATTACAGGCTGAGAAAGGATGCTAACATACAGAGAGTATCTGATTACTCCACCAAGAGCATAAACTTGTCATATTCATCACTCACTTTTCTTAGTTCTCCCAATGACTCCTTAACCTTCTGGTAAACAGACTTCTGACAAGTCAGCCCCACCAGTTTCTCTGACACATTCAGACTGTCTCAGTCTTGTTTAGATTCGATATGGCACCATATCCTGAGTGGGCCATGAGTAGATGTCAGCTGAACAACTCCACCCCAGAATTGGAAACATTGTCTAAGAACAGGTTGCCGCCAAATACAGTAGAGTATTTGTATCAGTATATTTAATATTAACAGAATCACCCCACATTTTTTATTTAAAGAGCATCCGCTAATGCAGTTTTAAGGGGAAAAGGATGTATGCAAATCTATGTGTGCACTGTGAGATCAATTTTTTAATAATACGGTTACATGTAGACACGAGCAAATCTTCAGATACAGACCAAAAAAGACTGGAACAATATCTAAGTGTTAGTAGTCAATAATTATCCCCTAATAGTGGGATTGTGACTTGTGTTTCTTCTCTCTACATTGTTCTATATTTTCAAATTTTCATTTGAAAATGTGTTACTTGAATAGTGAGAAAAAAATAAATACCATTTAAAAAGGAAGTAGTCTCTCATCCTTTCGTAAAATCTGCTTAAGGATCTTAATATAGAAAAACACTAAACATGAAGGAAAGTGTGTGATAGTCCTTTTTCTTGTTCTTTTCATTTTCTCATTCTAAGAGACGTTGAACATTAGAATTAGCTAATTCTAATTGAGAATGAATTCTATTTTATGCATTTATGTTTTTATATTTGTTATTTCTTTCTTATTTCCCTTCCTTCTATCTCATTGTAATTTTCCTAACTTCTTAAAATTGAATGCCTGGTTTATTAATTTTCAAACTTTCTTTTTTTCCTCCTTAAAATAGGCATTTAAAACTATACACCTTTTCTTTAAGTGCCACCTTGGTTGCATCTCCCTAGTGTTGAAATGTTGTATTTTCTTTATTATTTAGTTAAAATTTTTCTACTTTTCTTTATTTTTCCATCTATGTGTTTTTAAATGTGCTTTAAAATTCCCAAATATGTGAGTTTGGGGTTTGGTTTTTTTTTTAACTGATTTCCAACTTAATTGTATTGTGATTATACAATGTGGTCTATATGATTCTGATACTTTTAACATTTTTTAATCATGTTTTATGGTTAATATTTGTAAATATTTTATGTTCTTTAAAAGTATATATTTTTCCAAATTTTGGGTCCAAGATTCTACAGTGCCCATTAGGTGAAGTTGTTAATTTTGTTGTTCAGACCCTCAGTATCTTTCCTTTTGGTTGTTTTCTTGATCTATAGTATCCATGAAGATTAAATGGGTATATACTTGTTGGGTCCCCCAAAAACAGGGTACCCCAATAATAGGTCTGTGATTAAAGGAGCGAGACTGATACAAAGCAAAGGTCAAGAAAGGTTTATTTCTTGCCAAGCATCAGGAATCAGACCAACTGTCAAACAGACCGGTTGGGGCCACCTCCCTGCTTTCCAGACTAACTTTTATAGAGCAAAGGTCATGTGGTTGAGCCTGGCCACACACAAGTGGCCAATGAGATTGTAACACACACAGGAAACTCCACGGTGATGCTAGGTGACCAATTGAATTACAATTTACCCTAGTAGACATTTGAACCAGCCTATCACCTTGGTTAGGATTGGCGCCAAAAGGCTCCCAAAGGGCGGGGCCCATACTTCTTGGTAGCTAGGAAACAGTATGCACCCCCACTGATTGAATACCTCCACCTGGTCTGACCCACCCTTGTACTTGGACTTTGTTACCTGGGACTGGTTTCCGGGACTTGTTTTTAAGTAAGTTCCCCTGGCGGGGGGTGGACAAAGTCAATTTAAGTTTTACAACAAAATAGCAGTTCAACCGGGGTGGGGCCTCTCTGGCTGAATAGGCCCTTACATACTAATTTGTATAATCTTATTTACATATCATATATACATACATATGTATATCTCAGAAAACGGTGCTTGGCACATGGATGTGATTTATAAGTCTATAATGTAGTGGTTTAAAGATGTACTCTGGTGTCAGAATGCTCAGATTCAGATCTGGACTCTGCCTTATTAGCTGTACGATCCAGGTCAAGTTACTTACAGTGTCTGTGCCTCAATTCCTGAATTTGTAAAAGAGGAATAATAATAGAGTTGTGGGGCACCTGGGTGTTTCTGTCGGTTACGCAGCTGACTTGATTTTGGCTCAGGTCATGATCTCAAGGTCATGAGATCAGCTACCCTCCCCACACTGCCCCAGGTCAAGCCCAACATCTGGCTCCATGGAGGGGTGACTGTGGACCCTCCTTAAGATTCCCTCTCTCCTTCTCCCTCTGTCCCCACTCCCCTTCTAAAAAATATAAATATTTAGGAGGAGTTCAAGATGGCGGAGAAATAGCAGGCTGAGACAACATCAGGTAGCAGATCAGCTAGATAGCTTATCAAACAATTCTAACACCTACAAATCCAACAGGAGATCGAAGAGAAGAGCAGCAATTCTAGAAGCAGAAAATCGACCACTTTCTGAAAGGTAGGACTGGCAGAGAAGTGAATCCAAAGCAATAGGAAGATAGACCGTGGGGGAGGGGCTGGCTCCCGGCAAGCGGCGGAGCAACAGAGCATAAAATCAGAACTTTTAAGAGTCTGCTTCACTGAGGGACATCACTCTAGAGGCTAAACTGGGGTGAAGCCCACACGGGGACAGCGTGGCCTCAGGTCCCGCGGGGTCACAGAAGGATGGGGGGTGTCTGAGTGTCACAGAGCTCACAAGTATTAGAGCAGGGAAGCCAGCTACAGAGATGGAACCGAGGAGTGAGCTCTCAACTTGGGGTTACCTTATTGTGATCCGTGACACAGGTCACTGCTGTGTGAGTGGCGTCCCTACAAGATCCAGGGAGACTCCCCTGGAAGAGCTCAGGGATCTTCAGGGTTCAGAGACTCCAGGTGGGGCTGTGTGCCAGAGACAGAGATGCTTGGTCACAGACTGGCTGAGTTTGGAGCACAGCCAGAGGCCAGGGAGATGTGAGTGATTGAGCACTTTTTTCTGAGGGCTCACTGAGGAGTGGGGCCCCAAGCTCTCAGTTCCTCCAGCCGGAGATTGGGAGGCCGCCATTTTCATTCCCATCCTCCAGAACCCTATGGAAAGCGTTCAGGGAACAAAAACTCCCGAAAGCCAACATGAGCGATTACTTAGCCTGGCCCCTGGTAAGGGTGGTACAATTCTGCCTCGGGCAAAGACACTTGAGAATAACTACAACAGGCCCCTCCCCCAGAAGATCAACAAGAAATCCAGCCATGACCAAGTTCACTTAACCAAGGAGAACAGCGGAATTCCAGAGGAGGAGAAAGCAAAGCATGGAATTCATGGCTTTCTCCCCATGATTCTCCCCATGCAAAATTAACTAATTTTTTTTTATTTTATTTTTTTCTTCTGCTAAATTTTTTAAAACGTTTACCCTTTCCTCTTTTAATTTTTTTTTTAAACTAGTTTATCTTAACAATACCTTTCAAAAATAATCTTTTTTGAACCTTCATTATTATAGTCACATTTTATCCTTCATTGTATCTAACTTTATTTTTTGTATACACATAGAGTTTTTTCTTCTAAAAAAATTTGGGATACAAATTCTTCTAATAGATTAAAATATACCCTAAACCTACCACAGGGCTTTGTTCTAGTCTCCAGCCTGAGCAAATTCTCTCTACTTTCTTTTTCTTTATTCTCCCAACCAACTTATCAACTCCTTTTTTAGAAATTAAAAAAAATTTTTTTTTTCATCTTTATACTCATATTCCATCCCTTCCTTCATCATGTTTACCCTTATATATGTTTTTCATTATTTAAAATTTTGGGAGGTAGTTTCTTCTAAGAGACCAAAATACTCCCAAAATTAAGTGGGTAACCCTGTTCTAGTCACCAGTCTAATATATATATATATATTCTTGTTTATATTTTTTCTTTATATTTTTTCTCTTTTTAATTTTTTTTTCTGAACTTCTTTTTACCCCTTTTCTCCCCCCATGATTTGGGGTCTCTTCTGATTTGGTTAAAACACATTTTACTGGGGTCTTTGCCACCCTTTTAGTATTTTATTCACTCCTTCATATATTCTTATCTGGATAAAATGACAAGGCGTAAAAACTCACCACAAAAAACAAACAAACAAACAAACAAGAGGCAATACCGAAGGCCAGGGACCTAATCAATATGGACATTGGTAATATGTTAGATCTAGAGTTCAGAATGACAATTCTCAAGGTGCTAGCAGGGCTCAAAAAATGCATGGAAGATATTAGAGAAACCCTGTCCAGAGAAATAAAAGCTCTTTCTGGAGAAATAAAAGAACTAAAATCTAACTAAGTTGAAATAAAAAAAAGCTATTAATGAGGTGCAAT